AAAGAAGTGATAAGTGACCCCAATTGCGGGGATTTAAAATGGCGTACACGTGAATCCGTGACACAATTAGTGGATCAAAACCTCCAAAATAACTCATAAATAATTAATCAATAGAGTAAATTTAACTCCAAAAGAATATAAACTAAAAAAAAGTCCAAAAAACCACCTAAATGGTGGAGGTGTTCTGTAGGCCTTTTAATGTATGTGTATGCAGAGCTGGATGACGGGAGTCCCACACTATGTGAAATGGCCCCTCACCTCCATGAAGTGACCCTACCGGGTCAAAACGTCTTTTAGGAAAATACCACACCGATCGGGAACCTGGACCCCCTCCTGCAGATGTAAGGTCTAACGTAGTGTCAATCCCCCTCACTGGGCAAAAGGTACCGTAATCCGCTTCCTCAAAGATGTCCTGGAAATGGTCACTCCTCATACGGCCAGAGAGAGAAAGGAAGATGCTCCCATAGTGTACTAAAGTTTTATTGTACTAAATTGTTAAAATATTACAAGTCCCGCTCACATTTTAAAATTCAAAACATAAGCCTTTGTGCATAACCACATGCTATGGGTGTACTTTACATGAAGTAAAAAATAGGACTATCCAGTTCAACTTGCCAGCCTATCCCAGTCTAATAATGGCTATTGTCGGCAAGGAACATGGATAAGTATAACTTATCAAAAGAGGGGGATAAGAAAGCCAGTTCAAACTGCCAGCCAGTTAGCCAACTATCAAAAACCAAATTAACCTGTCTAAGAACATGCGTTTAAAAACAGGGGTTTAGTTAGCACACATTTGCAAATACATACGTAAGCCACAGAGCCACATCACGGCACCCTGAGTATCTGTGGTCCTAACTCTAGAAATCTTGACCTGGGTAGGTGACCAGCTTTTTCTTTGTATGTTAATTCTGGAGGTTCAGTGGGTGCATTGGACACCCTGGCTGCCGTTGTGCTACATGCTGGGTGTCAGGTGCGCTCCCATGACCTTAATGAGGGGTGGGCTCCCTCAGGTTCACCTGCCCTTGTTTCTATCCATTTAAATGCATGTGCCTCCATTGTGAGGACTCAAGATTTATACAGTTAGGACCACAGATACTCAGGGTGCCGTGATGTGGCTCTTAAATATGTAAGCGGCGGGGCTACCCGGTGACATCACCCGTGTGACCCCGCCCCATGTGCCATCATCAACCGGGGCATGCTGGTCACTGACGTCACATGGGGTGGGGTAACATGTGATGGCTCCGACTCTTACATATTTAAGAACTGTCAAACCAGCTCAGAGGCAAATGCCGGAGGCCAGCGTCAGAAACGGAGTCTTTTTTTTTCCTTTGGAGCGGTGGCGGCGATGGGCATCATGATTGACATTGGATCTACTTCGGGAGACATTCTTTTGTTAAAGGACTTGTCAAAGAATGACTCCTGTCTTTTTTTCACACTACAGCGTTTTTTTTTTTTTTTTTTTTTTGTGAATGGGTAGCGGTACCATGTAACCCATACTTATTCACGTGGGGGGGTACCGGGATCTGGGGGCCCCCTTGCTAAAGGGGGCTTCCAGATTCCAATAAGCCCCCCATCCGCGACCCCCACAACCACAGCCCAGAATTGTGGGGAATGGCCCTTGTTGTTTTTTTTTAAATGCAGAGCGCTATACTACCGCATACTCGGATGTGGAAGGATACCGCTTAGTGAATTGCTGCGTTAAAAAAAACAACTGTAAACTCAACTGCCTGTAAACGACTATGTGTACATGGACACATAGGAAAACATTAGGGAGAGTTCAGGGGTTGCTGAGAAAAACGCAGAAAAGCTCCTGAACGTCAGTTTATCAGCCGCAGTGTACATGAGCCCTCATGCAACCATGTTATTTTAGTTTTTTAATTTTTACTTCCCTCCACCTAAAATATTTCATTTTGTTGTTCAACTGAGTTGTAGCGTTTATAGGTTACATTAAAAGTGGGGAAAGTTCTGAAATGATTTATCTTTGTCATTTTTTTACATCACAGAAACCTAACATTTTAACAGGGGCGTGTAGACTTCTTCTTATATCCACTGTAGATGGACTTGGCCTTGCACTGCATTGGTTGAACATTTTTTTTTCTATCGGACTAGCTATGTCAGTAATGGGGGTTTGCAAATATTCCTATAAAAGCCAGCTTTTTGTCAGCATGTGTTTGATATGGTGTAGATAGGGAGAGCTGACAGCAATTTTAGTGAGAGATAGTTACTATTCATGTACACTATAGTGCTACCTACAGAGCCATACACTGCTTTATAGTACTACTGTTCCATTACAGTGAAATGCAGTGTGGGGGGCTACAAAGGAATGGAGACTTTAAAAAAAAAGGGTTTTGGGTTATAGTGGTTTTAGGGTTGGTGTTTGGGCCTTAGTTATATTTTTTTAGAAAGATATATAATTTTGATGGGGTCTTTTATTTATGTATTTATTGTTAAAGGATCAGTAGCATGAGCTTGTTCCTGACGCAAATGTATAAGTAGGTAATAGAGCGCTGGGAACATATAAACGAAGCAGCTAGCATAAAAGGTAACCTTGGGGCCCAAATAACAAACATAAAAATAAAATATGCAGCGCTTCCTGACGCAAGCAAAGCTGTCCTTTGAAGCACCACATATTGTAACAGTCCAGTTTACTGCAACAAATCCCCAGATTGTAAAGTGCATTAAAGCACCACGCCCACAATCACCCTACTGCCATAGTTAATAATAAAATTAAGCAATCCCCGGTTTTCATCATGTCTGGGAGGCCCAAAGGAAGAGGCAGAGGTTCTAGTAGTGAGCAAGCAGGTTCTGCACCTGCAGTCTAAAACTGTGTCCGTATTAAAACTTTAGGTTATTTTACATTGTAGAGGTGAAAGTATACTTTTGGCTCCATCTTATCTTTTTCCAATATGAGGATAAGGAAATCATAGGAGTTCATAGTTTTTTGTTTTTTTCGTGCATTTGTTTTTTGGGCAATCTGAAATACACATGAGGGAAGAGCTCATTTAAATATTACTCATATATTTGCACATACTGATCAAAATGATGAAAAATGCTAGTAAATCTCCTTCTACTTGAACTTTAGCGATTGCTCCAATCCATTTAGACTTTCCATACTAGTGAAAGAGCAGACTGATAAACTCTGATTGTAGTACACATACAGTTGCAAGAAAAAGTATGTGAACCCCTTGGGACTACGTGGAGTTTTGCATGAATTGGGCATACAAATTTGCTCTGAACGTCATCCAAGTCACAACAATAGAAGAACACAGTCTGCTGAACATAATACTACACAAACATTAGATGTTGCCATGGTTTAATTGCACACAACATGTAAACATTCACAGTGCAGAGAGGAAAACGTATGTGAACCTTTGGACTTAATAACTGGTTGACCCTCCTTTGGCAGCAATAACCTCAACAAAAACATTTCCTGTAGTTGCAGATCAGACCTGCACAACGATCAGGAGTAAGTTTGGACCACTCTTCTTCACAAAACTGTTTCAGTGTAGCAATATTCTTGGGATGTCTGGTGTGAATCGCTCTCTTAAGGTCATGCCACAGCATTTCAGTCGGGTTGAGGTCAGGACTCTGACTGGGCCACTCCAGAAGGTGTATTCTGTGCTGTTGCAGCCATTGTTTTGTTGAATTACTTGTATGCTTTGGGTCATTGTCCTGTTGCATCACCCATCCTCTGCGGAGCTTCAGTTGGCGGACAGATGGTCGTACGTTTTCCTGCAAAATGTCTTGATAAACTCTGGAATTCATTTTCCTATCAATGACAACAATCCGTCCAGGCCCTGAGGCAGCAAAGCAGCCCCAAACCATGATGCTCCCTCCGCCATGTTTTACAGTGGGGATGAGGTTTTGATGTTGGTGTGCTGTGCCTTTTTTTCTCCACACATAGTGTTGTGTGTTCTTCCCTAACAACTCAATCTTGGTTTCATCTGTCCACAGTATATTTTGCCAGTAGTGCTGTGGAACATCCAGGTGCTCTTTTGCAAACTTTAAACGTGCTGCAGTATTCTTTTTGGACAGCAATGGCTTCCTCCGTGGTGTCCTCCCATGTACTCCATTCTTGTTTAATGTTTTCCTTATTGTAGATGTGTCAACAAAAATGTTAGCATGTTCCAGAGATTTCTGTAGGTCTTTAGCTGATACTCTAGGATTCTTCTTTACCACATGCAGCATTCTGCGCTGTGCTCTTGCAGTCATTTTTACAGGACGACCACGCCTAGGGAGAGTAGCGACAGTGCTAAACCTTCTCCATTTGTAGACAGTCTGTCTTACCGTGGACACATGAACATCAAGGCTTTTGGAGATACTTTTGTAACCCTTTCCAGCTTCATGCAAGTCAACAATTCTTGATCGTAGGTCTTCTGAGAGCTCTATTTGCGAGGCATGGTTCACATCATCAGACAGTGCTTCTTGAAACCAGTAAACCCAAAACAGGTGTGTGTTTTTTAAGGGCAGGACAGCTGTCAGCAACACATCCAATATCATCACACTGATTGGAGTCAAGGTTGGCTCACTCCTGGCTCCAATTAGCTCTGGGAGAAGTCATTAAGCTAGGGCCTCACATACGTTTTCCTCCCTGCACTGTGAATGTTTACATGTTATGTGCAATTAAACCATGGCAACATCTAATGTTTGTGTAGTATTATGTTCAGCAGACTGTGTTCTTCTATTGTTGTGACTTAGATGACGTTCAGAGCACATTTTATACTCCACGTAATCCCAAGGGGTTCACATACTTTTTCTTGCAACTGTAGCACTAGAATCAAGCCTTCTACTAGTCTGAATCTTAATTTAAAAAAATGTCTGATTGGTATTTGTGCGTAATTACTTTTTATATTTGGTACTTCTCTCCTTGCATTGTGTATTGAATAAAGCTATTCATTTTAGTCTTTTATGACTTTCCCTCATAACAGGCATAAGCCATGATGAAGACATTATCTTCTGGAAGCTGCACTCTTAGTGTCCCTGCCAAGAACTCTTATCGCATGGTTGTCCTTGGTGCCTCAAGGGTGGGCAAAAGTTCCATTATCTCACGGTTTCTTAATGGAAGATTTGAAGAGCAGTATACCCCTACCATTGAAGATTTTCATCGCAAGTTATATAATATAAAGGGAGAAATGTATCAACTGGATATTTTAGATACATCTGGAAACCACCCATTTCCAGCTATGAGAAGGCTTTCTATACTAACAGGTAAAAATGTGCATTGTCATGGTTTCGAGTGTACTGTATTAAAAGTAATGTGCTATTTTCTAGTGTATATTGCGGTAAGCACTTGTTATCTTCCTTTGCAAGATCTGCCTGATGTCATTGCTTCTAATTGTAGTGGTCATCTCACACTTGTGATATGTTGCGCTGTGTAAGCAATCCATTGTTTTCCATCTGCTTATCTACAGTCAGCAAGCAGACTAGTACAGAGAAGGAAGGAATCTGTAAACTGTTTGTTTGCCTGGATACAAAGGTGAAGAACAAGAAAAATATCTTCTGCTTTTCATATTTGTCTGGCTGGAACTAAATGAGTTGGAAGGATAGGAAGGCTTAGCTAAACATATGCAGTGGATGCCTTCTTCCAAAATTTAGTGATCTCTTTTCAGGAACTAAATGGAAATCCTCCCAATGGCCAGTGAAAAAAAACACATCAACAGGCATTTTAACCAATGACTGTTCTTTTTTTTTTAATTTAAATATTTATTAATTTTCCATATAAAATACATGTTCCATCATTACTCTCATATAACATACAAAACCATCATTTATATCCCTTTCTATCTTTATTACCATTGCCCCCACCCACCCTAAAAACCTGCCCCCACCCCACCCATAAAACCACCCACTCTCCATTACATCTTTTCTTAAGTACTTTCACATATCCAACTCTACTGCTTCATATATTTCACCTTGGACACAAAATCATCCCATTTTCCCCACCTCCTATAATATAACCCCATCTTGTCTTCTTGCATATAATACAGTTTCTCCATCCTACATATCTGGTTCACTCTTTCCACCCAATCCTCTTCTCTCGGCACCTCTGAGCTATGCCAAAACTTGGGTATCAGACCCTTTGCCGCATTCAGATAATACCATATACCCGAATCCTTGTATTTGTTCACTGATAGCTCTGTACTATGTAATAGACACAACTCTGGATCCAATCCTTTCTTTATCCCAGATATTATCCCAATCAAATGAACCATTGTCTCCCCAAAACCTTGAATCTTTGGGCACTCCCACCATATGTGATATAACGTACCTATCTTTCCACACCCCTGCCAACACTCCAGTGTATTCTCCCCACTCATCTTATATTCCACGTTCGGTGCAATGTGCCATCTTGTTAAACACGTATAATTTACCTCCACCTCTCTCATGCCTATATTCTTATGTGTTAGTCTATATATTTTCCTTTGTTTGTCTTCATCTATCTCTATTCCTAAATCCCTTTCCATTGTACTATATACATTGGCTTTGCGTGTGTGTCTAACTCAGTGAAAATTTTATAAACTTTTGCCGTGCCCCGTTTCCCATCTCCACGTGATTCCAACAGCCTCTCAAACAAATTCCAATCCTTTCTCAATCTGAAAGGTTTCGGAAGATTCCCGACAAAGTGTTTCAATTGGTGGTATCTCCACTCATCTATCTTAATGAAAAATTCCCTTTTGTCCTTTTTCAATTCCTGCCCTTCCATAACATCCTTCAATTGAATATCCTCCTTTTTTAAACCATTATCCTGTGCTCTCTTCCCTACCTGGAGGGAAAAACTCTGTGTTCCTCAGTGACATTAATTGTGAATTAAAATCCCATTTCATAAGCTTGTGCAGTTTATCCCAAACCTTTAAAACATTTAATGTATAAACACTCGTGGTATCTTTTAATCCTCTATATTGTGCTGGTACCCATATGATTTTACTCAAGTTAACTCCGCTTAATTCATTTTCAATCTTGACCCATCTTTTCCCCTCTGGATTGTGTGTCCAGTCATAAATTCTTGCTAGAACTACTGCTCTATAATACCTCTTAATATCTGGCACTCCCAGTCCTCCATTCTCTTTATTTCTACTCAACAAATCACAAGATATTCTAGGGTTTTTTATTTTTCCATATATATCTTGTTAACATCTTTTTAATTACCTTGAAAAAAAACCTCCGGAAGTTTAATTGGGATCATCTGGAATTTATACAGGATTTTAGGTACTATTACCATTTTTTTATCAGAGATTTATGCGCCCTATCCAAGACGGATTACTTCCTCCCAATTTCTTTAATTCCTCCTTAATCTCATTTAAAAGTGAGATAATATTTGATTTATACAAGTTCGTATATGAAGCAGTGAGTTTAACCCCTAGATATTTTATCTCTCTATTTTTCCATATAAAAGGGAATTCTTTTTGTATCTTTTCTTTTTCACTATTTGGAAGATTTACATTTAAGATCTCAGTGTTTGTTGGGTTGATTTTCAAATTTGATAGCTCCCCATAAACCTTTAAGCTCTTCATTAAATTTGGGAGTGTTATCCTAGGGTTTTCCCACATAGAACAACAGGTCCCATTCGCAAAGGCTGCCACTTTATGTTCAATTCCTCCTATCTGTATTCCTTTTATGTCCATATTTTTTTCTAATTGTTGCCAGTAGAGATTCCAATGACAATATATACAACAATGGGGACAGTGGGCATCCCTGTCTTGTTCCATTTGACATCCCAATCGGTTCCGACCTCTCTCCGTTAACCAAAATAACCGCGGAGGGCTTTATATACAATTTTCCTATCCACTCTCTCATTCTAACTCCCAGTCCTAGAGTCTCCAGAGTGTCCATCATGAAGCTCCAATCTACTCTATCAAATGCCTTTTCAGCATCGATTGAAAGCACCACCGCCAGAATTTTCCCCTTCCTAACTTTCTGGATAAGCAACAAAGTTCTCAACCCATTGTCTCTACCCTCTCTTCTGGTACAAATCCCACCTGGTCCCCCTGGATCCATTCTGGCATTAAATCTTTCAGTCTATTGCTAAAACCTTTGCATATAACTTAGTGTCTATGTTCAAAAGTGAGATTGGTCTATAGCTAGAGCACTGAGAAGCATCCTTCCCTTCCTTTTAAATAAGCACTACGTGGGCCTGTACAGATTCTCGCCTCATCTCCATCTCCCCCTCAGGGCGTTCATATATTTCTTCAATTTAGGTATTAACAGTTCACTATATTTTTTATAGTACCTCACAGTTAGAGATGAGCGAAGTATTCAAAAATTCGATTAGACTGATTCGGCGAATTTGTGGAAAAATTTTGATTCGAGTCGAATATATTCGCTGCGAATTTAACTTATAAAAGGGTGTTTCTAGGCTTCAGAGAGCCTTTATATTAGTGCAGAACACTGTACCTTTAATTTAAATGCCCTTGGAGTCTGCTGGGGAAGAGAAATAATACTGACAGTCAGTATGACATGCAGATGAGTGCCGTCGATCTTAGAATCACCGCACACTTCACTCATTTGGGCAGTCACGGGGCCAAAACCAGAGTGTGGAGCCACAGTGTGGCGGTGGAGGCAGCAGCAATGGGAGGCCATACAGCACCCTATGACAAAAATGGAAACCACCAGCAGTGTGAGGAGACCTGAAAGTGGCACATGGCAGAGTGTGGCGATGGAGACAGCAGCAATGGGAGGCTGTACAGGGACCCATGACACACTCTGGACCTGGCAGCAGCATGAGGAGGCAGTACAGGGGCCCATGACAGATTACGGGCCTGGCAGCAGCATGAGGAGTCGGTACGGGGGCCCATGGCAGATTAGGGGCCTGGCAGCAGCTATGGGAGGCCCGTAATCTGCCAGCACCCTATGACAAAAAATGGAACACACCAGCAGTGTGAGGAGACCTGAAAGTGGCACATGGCAGAGTGTGGCGATGGAGACAGCAGCAATGGGAGGCCGTACAGGGACCCATGAGAGACTCTGGACCTGGCAGCAGCATGAGGAGGCGGTATAGGGGCCCATGGCAGATTAGGGGCCTGGCAGCAGCTATGGGAGGCCCGTAATCTGCCAGCACCCTATGACAAAAAAAATGGAACACACCAGCAGTGTGAGGAGACCTGAAAGTGGCACATGGCAGAGTGTGGCGATGGAGACAGCAGCAATGGGAGGCCGTACAGGGACCCATGAGAGACTCTGGACCTGGCAGCAGCATGAGGAGGCGGTATAGGGGCCCATGGCAGATTAGGGGCCTGGCAGCAGCAGCTATGGGAGGCCCGTAATCTGCCAGCACCCTATGAAAAAAATGGAACACACCAGCAGTGTGAGGAGACCTGAAAGTGGCACATGTTTGGGGCATGATTCATGGCGGATTTAGTCAGTTGTGTCAGGAACTGGTGGTTTGAAATCCAGACTAATCCACGCCTGATTCATTTTCACAAACGTGAGTCTCTCCACACTTTGGGTGGACAGTCGTGTCCTCCGCGCGGAGTTGCAATACCTCCTGCCGCACTAAACACGCCTCCGATGCCATGCTACTGGCCGGGCATGACAGCCTTTCAAGGGCAAATTCAGCTAGTTGGGGCCAAAGGTCAAGTTTCGTTGCCCAGTAGTCAAGGGGATTGTCTACCTCGGTTGGCAGGGTGCTGTCCAAGTAGGCCTAAGCCTGTTGTTTGAGGTCCTGCTCCAGGTCCACCTGATGCTACTGCTGCTGCTGCTGCGGCTGGTTAGTAGTTTCCTCACTGCGCTGGTGAAGAAAGCTACTCATCATCGACTGCAGACTGAGGCAGCTGCTGCTGGTGGAGCTGCCACTGCTCCTACCACCCCACCCCTCCCCTGCTGCCATGGCAGCGGAACGCGAGCGCACAGGGCCCACAGTGTCTGAGGATGGACGTTGGCGCACACAGGCAGAGACCAGCTGACTACATAGGTGGTTTTTATAGTACGTTATTTTGGCCTCCCTCTCAGCAGGTGTGAAAAAGGCCACCATTTTTGAACGGTAGCGAGGGTCCAACAAGGTGGACAGCCAAAAGTCATCCCTCTGTCTGATGGTTATTATTCGGCTGTCGGTACGCAAGCAAGCGAGCATGCTATGGGCCATTTGTGCCAAGGAATGCGAGGGACTCCCTGCCTCCATCTCCACAGCATACTGCCACGGTGCGTCTGGGTCCTCTGTCTCCTCTTCCTCCTCCTCTACCAGATGCTCCTGCTCCTCCACTCCTGTCCGCTGAGTGGAAAAACCACCCATTTCACTCAATAATTCCTGAGCACCAATGTCCTCCTCTACCTCCTCCTCTTCTTCCTGTCCTGCCCCCACAGGGGTCATGTGGCGTTGAGATCTGTGCGCCACGTCTACCGCACCCTGACCAGCCATTGTTAACAGCATTTGTTCCAGGACGTG